GAATTCTTGGTTCCCATAGTTCAGAAATTTTAAAGTGCTTTTGTGTTTTTTCGAGTTGAAGAGGTGGAGTCGTCTCCTTCAAACTAGTAGTTCCTGTTCGCCGCGCAGAACCAGGTAAATTTTTTTTCTTAGCCTTGTTTTATTTAATTCCCACCTCGTTTATGTTTTATGTTTATTATATGTAGCTTGTTTTGTTTCATTAGTTTAATGTAGTTCTAAAAGTCAATTAATATTTGTGTTTATTGTAGTTTTAATATTAGCATTATTTTACGGTTTGATGTTTATTTATTTATTATTATTATTATTTTAAAATTTTAGTCAACTATTTGTTATCTTAACTTTTCAAGGTTTTGTTATTATTCTATTTTAATGTTATTTTTAATTATTATATATTACGTTATTGTTATTTCCATTTCTAATTATGTTGTTTTAGTTTGATTGTTGTTTTCCATATTCTCTTCGGATAAGTTTGTTATGTTTTGTTGATGTTCAGGTTATATTAAATATATTTGTTAAAGGGCCAATGAAAAAATCTATCCGTCGGGTTTAGAGGCCTTTCAATTTTTGAAAGACGGAAATTTTTAGTTTATATTCATATAATTTGTTTGTTGAAATTGTTGAATTGGCCAATGAAAAATCTATCCGTCGGATTTGGAGGCTTCCCCAATATTAAAAGACGGAATTTTAATTTAAGTTTATATATTTTAGTTGTTGAAATTGGCCGATGAAGAAATTACCGTCGATTTCTAAGGCCTCCCATGTTAATAAGACGGATCTTTATTTTTAGTTATTATTTGAGTTATTCATTTTTAATCATATTTATTCTTTACTAACACTTTTATTAAGTGTGTTTACAGGTACCCAAAAACTTGCTTCCTTGAAGCCATTTGAAAAACTCGAATTATATTTTATTTTATTATTTCGTAAATATTGACGTTAGGCAAATCTTAGGCCGATTATTATTTTGTTTTATTTTGAATATTGCATGTTTATTATATCTGTACATTATTTTATATTCTTCCTCAATTTGAAAAAAAATGAATTCAGTCGGGAACCACATTTGTGGATTCCGAAGGGTGCATAACCCCTTCCCTTCGGAATAACTTTAACCCCTTACCTAGAATCAATTTGGTTTCGTAGATTAATAATTGGTTTCCTAGTTTTCCTAAAATTAGGTGGCGACTCTTTTTAATACTCGTTTATTTTTTAAACTTTGTTAAAATTGAATCAATTAATAATTTTTTGAGTTGCTGTGACGTTTCAACCTATTTCGAAAGATTAGAGATGTAAACAGTGGGTGCAAGAACCTACTATTTTTTATGTAAGACCCATTTGTTGCACTGTGGATCAACCCCAACAAAATGCCCACAACATTGGAGGAAGTGACGATGAAGACGATATTCATTGTGAATTGTGTATTTCTGATTTAGAACTAGATTATGTAGTTAAATTTTTTCCGCATACTAATGTGTGGGAATAATTTAATTTAATCTATGTCTAAGACGATGTTGATTTTATTATTTTTTGTATTTATTTTCAAATTATATATTTGGCAACATATTATATTACATATGGTGAATTATCTGTAGCAACATGTGCCACATGTCGCAACACATGACTCATCTGTAGCAACATTTCTTGCACACATCGCAACAGATAATTCATCTGTAGCAACATTTGTGGCACATTTCCCAACACATGATTCGTCTTTATTAACATTTGTGTCACATGTAGCAACAGATGAATCATCTGAAGTTCTTGTTCTTCTCCCTGAACTTTATGTATTTTTTCTTGTTCCTCAACTTCTTCTTGTTTTTCATATTCTTCCTCCACTACTTATCTTTGTTCATATTTCTTTTGACAAAATTTTACTTATGCTTGAGAAGAAGAAACTGGTTTAGTTGCAAGATTTTCTAATAGTGTAGTATTTTCGTTCCTCTTCCTAGCGATTTTAGACCTAGCCTTCTTCTGGATCTTTGTTTGGTCAGAGGTAACAATATCAAGTTTTCTTTTGACAAAATTCATTATATTTGTATCTGCAACCACAAAAATAAAATATTTGAAAGCCCCAAAATGATCTACAACCACAAGTCAAAACAGGGCATTAAGGAGATAAGCAAACAAATGCATTTCAAACCCTAATTAAATATTACCTGATAAGATATATATCAACGATAAAGTATAAATTATGAGGAAAACACAACACCGCCTTTGCTGTAGAAGATGATTTGTGAAAGAGAAGAAGAGAAGAGAAGGAAAAGTGTATTGTCCTGGCAAAGGGAGAGGAGAAAAGTGAAATTAATTATTAGTATAAATAAATAAATCTTGGAATACGAAATGACACATTTATAGAAGAGAGGAGAGAGGAGGAGAGAGGGGAGAGGAAAATAAAAATTAAAGCCGTTTAATTTTTTTAATTAGGACAATTCAAACTGTGACATATGTTGCGTCATATAGACTATATGTTGCTACATATATACGGCTGTTGCCACACATAATTTTGTCGTGTTTATTACTACAGAAATTACATATGTTGCGACGCATATACTATCTGTTGCTATAGATGATTTGCTCTGTTGCCACATATAATTTTGATCCTTTCCATCATAATTGACATTTGTTTAAACAAAATCAAAATAATCATAAAAATATTTTAATACATAATCACCTATCTAATCAATGGTTGTAAACACAACATTTTCATCGCTCTTAGCTTTTTTTTTAGTTCTATGCATCTCTGGTTCTTCATTGTCACTAACTTAACCATTTTGAGCCTTTACAATTCCATAATTCCATAGGAGTGAAGCATATCTCAAGTGAAAGGTGTCAACACTACTTCCACATAATGGTACTTATAATTTATCACTCAAATACTCAGTGTATGCAGCAACAAAAATTTCACAATTTCTGCATGGTATATCATTAATCAGAAAATATAATAACATCACATTTCGATAGTCGTAAGACAAAATAATATTGTGATACTTACAAAATAACAGCCTTCTTGTTGAGCAATACCAGTAACATGACTGACTTCGAATGGGTGAGATTTGTTCTTTCCTTGTAACATTTAAGAACTGACCCGTTGGTTCCCTTATTTTGCTCAAAAAATCCACTCAAGTCAAGGTACTTTGGCAACATTGTAGCCATCTTTTGAATCTTGGAGGATAGTTCTCTTAGACCTATTTGAGGACATAGAATCATACACTGTTATGCACCGTTACTTCAATGTAACGACTGTCAAGATCAAATACAATTTTGCATTACTATTTACAGAGACGTAAACATCATCCGTCAAGTGCCAAGGCATTCCAGAAGGTATAGCATGCCCTTTCATTATGTCAATGATAGCCACTAAAGGACAAGACACCAGTTGAAGCTTGGAGTGGAATTAAACCTTCTGTAAGTCATTTTAAAATTTTTGGGTGTATTTGTTATGCTCATGTACCTACTGAGAAAATAACAAAATTGGATGAAAAAAGTCAAAAATGTGTCTTTCTTGGTTATAGTGATGTGACAAAAGGATATAGACTTCTCGATGTCAAAACTAACAAACTTGTTGTTAGTAGAGATGTCATTTTTGCTGAAAAACAATATGAAATAGGGAGGATAAAAAGATAGAGAATACTGCTATCATATCTTCAAATCAAGAAGAGGATGAGAAAGATGAAGATGTCTCTCAAGGGGGAGAATCCCAGATTCAGATAATGAAGAACCGCCTCCAAGAGGAACAAAAATATTGAGTAACATTTATCAAAGATGTAATTTTGCCGGTGTTGAGCCAGAAAATTATGAAGAAGCAATAAAGCATGATGTTTGGAAGAAAGCCATGGAAGAAGAAATTTGAATTATCGAAAAAAAATACATGGGAGCTTGTGGCTATTCCTAGAGAAAGAGAAGTTGCAAGTCTAAAACGGATTTACAAAATCAAACTCAATCAGGAAGGAGATATTCAAAGCACAAAGCAAGGTTGGTTGCTAGAGGCTTCACGCAAAAACCAGGTATTGATTTTTATGAAAGTTTCTCTCCAGTTGCTCGTCTTGAGACAATTAGAACTGTAATTGATGTTGCTGCACAAAAGAAATGGAAGATATTTCAACTTGATGTTAAATCAACATTTCTGAATGGAAAACTTGATGAAGAGATTTATGTTGAGCAACCTCAAGGATTTTTTGTTCAAGGGGGAGAAGAAAAGTTGTACAGACTAAAAATAGCTTTTTACAGGCTGAAGCAGGCTCTAAGAGCCTGGTACAATGATATTGATACATACTTTCTGAAAAATAATTTTCAGAGAAGTAAAAGTGAAGCCACTTTGTATATGAAGAAAGAACATGACAACATTATCATTGTTTGTCTCTATGTGGATGATTTGCTCTTTAGAGGAAATGATGTAAAGATGATGCAAAATTTCAAAAAAGATAT